ACAAAGCGACAAACGGCTGAGTATTTATCTAGTACAACATATCTAGAAATTATTCATTCTGTTGCTGATTTAATGAAAACTTGCATCAAGTACGAAGTAAAATTCTCGAAATTAGTTTCAATTATTATTGATGAAACTCCCGATTTGATTAGTCACAGAGAGCATTTGTGTCTGATTCTCCGACATTATTATGGAAACGATATTCATAACCGTTTTTAGGGGTATGATGTAGATATGTCTGAAAGTCGCACGGCAGACACACTTTTTAATATCATATTGGAATTATTAAACAATCATGTCTGCACCACAAAACTAGTTGCGCAAAGCTATGACTGTGCAAGTGTCAGGTTCGGTGTCAGAAATGGAGTGCAACATAGAAATTTAAGATGTTTGTCCCCAAGACATGTATATTTAGTGTAATGCACACATTTTGGCATTAGTTTTATGTAAATCTTGTTACAGGATTGGGGGAGTCAGCAATTTTTTTCGGACCTTAAGACTTTATTTAATTTTTTAATAACAGCACAAAACGGTCATCTTTTTATGATGCTCATTGCAGCAAACAATTGCCTAATGCCCCCGCAACTCGTTGGACGTATACGTCACGAATTGTGAATACAGTATTCGAACAAAAAGATACTCTGATTAATCAGATCTTGGCCGCCGAGAATTTTGAAAACACATTGCGTTCATTTAATTAAAATTGTTTTTTTTTTTCAATTTTCCACCGGGTATTTGAAAAAAGCGACGCTACTGCAGTAATAAAATAAAGTAGTTTTCGACATGGTTACGTACTGAATTTCAGTGAAAACACATTGCAAAATAACTTTGCTCCTCATTTGAGACGCAATGTGCGCTGTGCTCAGACAGCATACGAACGACTTTTTGTTGAAATATTAATATTAATTTCTGAAGATATTTATAACATATCTTCAGAAACTAGTGGCCGTTATTCTGAAATTTTCAATTTAAAATTTTTCCAATTGTTCAACAACAAACTATTCGAAAGATATCGTTCAGATTTTCCTTTAGAGGCATTAGATTCATTATTTGAAAATTACGCAAGTCATTTTGATAAACAAACATTGAAAAACCAATTGTTTTCATTGTATTCCTCCTCTGAATTAAAAGACCGCAATGTTTTCGAACTCAATTTTTTTTATTTTGTATATAGTTCGTTTGTACTTTGTTCATGCTTTTCTTTTGTTCATGTATTTTATTATATGTAAATATCTTTTTCTTTCGCTTAAGCAAAGCCAAGAAGGTATGCAATTGCTAATATTTCATACAATCTATCTAGCAGTATCAGCACAGAAGGCATATTGCCTTCTGTGTGCTTTGTCATGTCTCATGTCCTCGACAGCACTGAATATGAAACTGAAGAGTAGGGACAGATCAAGATTGGTGTATTTTTATTAAACTACTAAAAACAACAAAACCATATCTTGGGCTTGCCCTAGTTTGGAGCCCTAGCTTCGCCGCTGCTTGGACTCTAGTGCCTCCGCCCATCGATGAGTCAAGTAGACCAGAAGATCACCAGCTGATCGACCCTGACGAAAACCGTGTTGGCGGTCACTAATCGTCTGGTGATTCTCAAGATATAGACCCCATGAGCTGGCACTTTATAATGGATTCCACTATTTTGGAGAAAAAGAGGGTGATGTCGATAAGTCTGTAGTTTGACGGATCTGAGCCGTCGCCTTTTTTAGGGATCGGTGTACGTCGTAATCGTAAACCGTCTTCCATGATTTTGGGATTACGGTTAGGGAGTAGGAGAACCGGAAAAGACGCGTTAAAACCGGTGCCAACTCTAGAGCACACGTCCTCAGCACAATTGGGAACATTCCGTCAGGACCACTCGACTTGTGGATGTCCAGGAAAAGGAATGTTTTGCGAACCGAGTGCTGTGTGAACCGTACATCCGGCAAGGAGCACTCACACCGCGGGATGGTCGGCGGTGTGCTCCCCCCGTCATCAAGAGTCGATTTGGACGCAAAGAAAGAGCCTAGCAGATCGGCTTTCTCCTTTGCGGCATGGGCCAGTGAGTCATTCTCCCTGTGCAGAGATGGCTGAGAGAAATTACCTTGGCTTTGGCGAGAGACCAGAATGCACGGGCTCCAGAAGGAAGGCGAACTAGTTTCTCGCCAATTCTGCCTATGTGCTCTGACTTTGCCTTGGCAATGACTTGTGAAGAACGTGGAGGCGGAATTATACTTCTTTTTAGGGCGCTGGTGCTTGCATCCCGGGACGTTGATGCGTCAGCCCATGCTCGGTAGCACTCCTGCTTATTGCCATTTTACAGAAGCGACTAAACCATGTTTGAGATCTGCCTCCGATGGGCACCACAGACGAAGGAATAAAAAGTTACATACCCTGAAGTACTATATCAGCGACAGAATCAGCAACAACGTTGGGAGCGTCCGGCGAGGAGCAAACTCGCCCCCAAGGGTAGGACGCAAAACACGGAGACAGCCTGCAGAATGTAACTGCGGTTTCAGCGGGAGTGGCACCATACCCCGGACAAGACAATGATCCGAGGAGCCAAGAGGGGCATCTACGGAGACCTGATATCTGTCCGGGTGAGAGGTCAGCAGAAGGTCCAATAAGGAAGGTGCATGATCCTCCACATCTGGAATCCGCGTTGGCGAAGTAACCAGTTGTGTCAGACCATATGCCAAGGCAAAATCATGAACAGATCTCCCCGCATGATCGGTAAAACGTGAACCAATCCATTCAGCGTGGTGGGTGTTAAAATCATCGAGGATCACGATCTCTGCGGAGGGGATCTGCTGTAGCAACGAATCTGTAGCCATTTGAACGTGGTCGAAGAGTGAGTCTGTTTCGGCATTATCGCTATGGGATCTATAGAGGCACCCGTAGACGCGCGGATGGTCGTCGCTGTCTACACGTAACCAAAGGATGGACAGGTCCGAACCTTCAAGACTGCCAAGGCGACGAGAACAGATATCATCTCTGACGTATACGTAAACTCCAGCCCGAGGCACACAGAAGTGTTCCAGTTTGTACCCTGGGTAGGAGAGATACGAAGCATCACCCGGAGAGGACACATGCGTCTCGGTCAGAAAGAGCAGAGCCGGCTTCGCCGTCTCGAGAAGTTAGTGGACGGCATTTAGGTTTGAGTGAAGTCCCCTAATATTGCAGAAATTCACGGATAGCGTGGCAGGGGTCGCCTTGGTCTTTTTGCCGGCCTATACGTGCAACACCAAAGCTGCCGTGTCTCTCCGCTCTACCACTGTTAAATGTCCTCCAGTCCTCCAGATGACTTTAATGTCCTCCAGACCTAATTTCGGTCATGCTGCGCAGGACAGGAATATAGTGCCCAAGTGTATGTGCAAACACAAGTGCACTCTCTATTCAAATTCATAGTGTGATGGGACAATTATTCGACATGTCTGAATGGTCTGGAAAGTTGTATGATATATCGCACACCTAGATCTAAAGAGAGCTAATTCAAAAATCTCATTTTTTGAGTTACGCTTTCCATCGAATTAAATAACTCACTACCAAGCACCCAATAAAACCGATTCAAAAATAGTTCTATTACTCAACGCTAGATGATGTTAAAAGCCCATTTTGTTGAACGAGCGAGCCACGCTTTCCCCCACTAAAACAGGGACATCGCTAGTTGTAACCAGTATTTTATGCGGAACGCACGTGCCCGTTGTAAACAAATCGGAGTTATTTTGAGTTGATTCCCTGTTCTTGAGTTAAACAAAGGTTTTTATTTAACATTATTTTGAGTTGTTGCTGTTTTTATGGTTAGTGCTGAGTAAATAAAAGCTACATTTTGAGTTGAACCAGTGTTGATAGTAAGGTAGGCAATGTTTTTGTTTTTATTTTGAATTGTTACCATGTTGTTATAAATTTTTTGAATTTGTAGTTAAGCCTGTTTTGTTGAGTCATTTTTTAAACTCGTATATTTCTTTAGAAAACAAATGAAATTGAACTTTTTTTGCCAGAGGTGATTGGAGTCTGCTCATCTTAATAATATTTTATTTTTATCCCAGTAACTACACAGTTTGTTGTGTTTTTACTGAACAGTTTTTAAGTTAGAGCTGTTTAGATGGTTTATTTGTTTTCTTTTACTATTTCAGAAAAATAATGAATCGTGGACGGTTTTTAGTAAACATGGTTGAAGAAAGGGACAAAGAAAACATCAGCCCTAGCTTACTAACCCAACCAGATACTAGACAGGAGTTTGAACCAATAATACAAAAGGAGAGAGATTCATCTAACGAAACTCATGCAGCCTTATCCGTGGATGGTAAATCTATTCCGAGCACATATAAACAACAGCAGGCTAGTACACCAAATTATTATATTTCACCAATCCAAAGTGACCAAAGTGATTTTGATGACTCAGGTGAGGATCCCAATTACCAATTGATTAATAAAAGTAAGACACTATCTCAGATCGTACCTTTTGGTTCATTGCTGTCTTCATCCAGCACCAGCAGTAGTAGCTCTAAGAGCTCATCACGTTCTAATAGCTCGTCAGACACGGAAAATGATAGTGCGCATTTACAGCTTGACCCTCAAAATACTACGGTAGCGGAAATTAATTGCCAAGAGCTCGTTATAAAAGAAAAAAAGGGTAAAAAGAGGGTACGAAAACCAACGATGTGGAAATCGAAAGTTGCGAAAGTGCTGAGATTTTCTGGTAAAGCCTACCAGTCTTGTCAAAATCAAAATTACAAGTGCCAGAGAGAAAAGTCGGCCTCCCCTGTGGAGAAAAATGTCGGCTAAAATGTAAAGATAAGATCAATGAAATATCAAGGCAACAGCTTTTTGATGCATTTTGGGGACTCGGCAATCTTGAAAGGCAGAGAGAATTTATAGTGCGACACTCACAAAAAATAAAACCTAAATATCGATACTCAAGCACACAAGATTTTAGAGCTCTTAACACTGCGTTTTATTTTGAGGTTGCTGGATCCAAAATTAGAGTTTGCAAAGCGTTTTTCAAATCGACTCTCGGGATGAGTTATAAAGCTATACAAACGGCACTTTCCAAGGTCTCTGAATCAGGAGTCATACAAGGAGATTTGGGAGGAAAACACGGCCATCAACCAACTATTGATCCACAAATCAAACAGAGCGTTATTGATTTTATAAATTCTATTCCAAAGATTGAGTCTCACTACTTGAGAGCTCAAACGAAAAGACAGTATATTTCAAGTGAGAAATCATTGGCGGATATCTACAGAGATTACAAACAACTTCGTGAAAAGGATGGTTTAGCTATTGCCACGTCTTCCACATTCAACAGGATATTCAACACTGAATTCAACATTTCTTTTTTCGTACCAAATAAAGATCAATGCGATCTGTGCGAAAGGTATAAGAATTCAGACTCGGAAGAAAAACGCAACTTAAGCCAAGAGTATGAACAGCATCAGAAAGAAAAAGTTTTGGCAAGAAATGAGAAAGATAATGATAAAAGTAGGGCCGATGGTACTATCGTAGCAGTTTACGACTTGCAGGCAGTTTTGCAGATTCCAAAGGGACAAATATCACTATTTTTTTATAAATCCAGGATCAACTGTTTCAATTTTACCATCAGCGATTTAAGGGCAAAAGAAGTTATGTGCTACTTTTGGGATGAAACCGAAGGAAAGAGAGGACCTATTGAAATTGGCAGCTGCATACTCGACTACGTTAAAGCTCAGGTAGACCAAAATCCTAATAAAGAAATTGAAATAATTTTCTACTCGGACAATTGTGGCGGTCAACAAAAAAATAAGTTTCTGTTGTCTGCCTATGCCTACGCTGTCAACAAGTTAAGAGTCAAGTCTATTACTCACAAGTTTTTCATACGTGGACACTCACAAAATGAAGGTGACAACGTCCATAGTGTCATTGAGAAACAAATTAAAAGATACGTGCAGTCGGGTCCAATCTATATACCAGAGCAATATAAAACGTTGATTGGTACAGCAAAAAAAGACTGGAAAACCTTACACAGTCGTAGAAATGACGCATGACAAGTTTTATGATGTTAAAGCTTTGCAAGAAACGTGGGGCACAAATTTCAATACAGACGAAGAGAGAAATCAAGTTAAGTGGCATGACTTAAAGGTTCTTAGGGTTGAAAAAGATCACCCTGAAGCGTTTTTCTATAAAACATCATTTACAGAGGAAACGTTTAAGAAAGTTTGTGTGCGAAAGAGGATTCTTCGCCTAAGAGGATCCGGATCGGCCATAGCTATAGATCAATCGTTATTTTCAATTGTTTTAACACATGCATACACTGAAAAAATTGCATTGTCTGATGCAAAAAAAAAAGACATAAAAGAATTGATTGATAAGAACGTCATTCCGAAATCCTATTATGATGTTTATTATAAATATGTATTGGGTGATACTGATAATTGACTGCTTTATTCTTATTGAAGTGTTTGCATTCTTAACTACCTACTAAGAATGTGTCAAATGTGATTTTAGATGAGTATTTAAAATGTATTTCATGGAAGGGAAGGTTCCTCATTATGTTTATGTTGTGTTACTATTTTATTATGATAATTTTATTTGAACCTACTAGGTAATTAAGGGTCATAAAAGGCTGTATTTTTTTATAGAATATATTAGGTATAGGTATATTATTAATAAAAAATATTTGATTTGATTACATAATTTAGTATTTTCTTGCTAAGTCATCAATCAATATACCCCTACTGCTGGTCACTGACCCCTCTATCAGTTGGATTTTTATTGAATTAATTCTAAATGCTGCTATATTTAAATTAATATTGACTCTTCAAAAGGGAGCCAACTAGGAACTTAATTCACCAACACAGGTTAAACTCCAAATAAAAAAAATATATACATACATTTGTTAAGCAATACGGAAATAACTACAAAACTCCAATTTTCAGACTCAATTATGATTAAAATACATGATTCATTATGACATCTTTCCTCTATTTGCATTTAAAAAGATTTGATCAATTCAGAAAACTCCTGCGGGGCACAGGGACACTGTAATCAGTTTATCACCTTTTCTGAAAAAAATGATTTTTTGAGTTAATCGCTGTTTAGATCTAGGTGTGCGATTATATGAGTTATAACTGTAGAATAGTGTATTATTGAAACAGAAACAGAAACTTTTTTATTCAATGTCAAAGTCACTTTCGTTTACCACTAGTTCGAGAAAAAACCTCTGTCCTAGAAAGAACCAGCAAGAAACCCAGCGGGACTATTTTTTTTTTCCAATAATAGCTTACAATCATGTTTACAATTAGCAACACAAGACAAATTAGAAATAGCTTGGTAGCGATCACCTTTCATTTCCCATTTCATTATCATCCATAAATTCCTTAATATTATAATAACCCTTTTTATACAAACTTAGTTTAATAACATTTTTGAACTTTGTGTATGAAAAATTTTGTATATTTTCTAGGATTTTGTTGTAAAAGCGTATACATCGCCCCAAGAATGAATTACTGACTCGGTGGAGTCGAGTAACTGGTACTACTAGCTTGTGTCTGTTCCTAGTATTTACAGAATGAATATCACTTATTTTTGCGAAACTACGTTTATTTTTGTGTACGTACATTACATTTTCATAAATGTATTGAGAGGCCAGAGTTAATATATTAATTTCCTTAAATTTTTGTCTCAGTGACTCTTTTGGTTTTAAATTATATATCGCTCTAATGGCCCTCTTCTGTAAAATAAATATAATTTCAGTGTCAGTCGCGTGTCCCCATAGCAAAATACCATACGACATCATCATCATCATCATCATTACAGCCCTTCACAAGTCCACTGCTGAACATAGGCCTCCCCCAAGTAATGCCACAAAGCACGGTCCTGAGCCACCTGCATCCATCGACTTCCTGCATGTCTTACCAGGTCGTCACTCCATCTAGTGGAGGGTTGCCCTACACTACGCCTACCGGTACGAAGCTGCCACTCGAGAACCTTTCTTCCCCATCGGTACGACATAATGCTATGGAAATAACTAAACTATTCTAGCTGTTTCAACACTGGTAAGAGTTCTAATCTTTTTTACAGCATATGCTGTAGAACTAAGTCTGCTAGCTAGTTTTGATATATGGGGGAGCCATTGAAGCATATTGTGAATGATCAAGCATAATGTTTTATTTGCAAAACTATTTTCTTAATTCTTAATCAAAAAATGTTATTTAACCAGGTACTGTTAGCAGTAGGAGTATGGCTCCAACAAATGGGATGTTCATCTTCTCAGTCCTTGCAACTGGTGGAAAATATAATCAGGGATCACTTCTACTTGAACACAACCAACCTGACTGCCTTGAAATCCCTAGCTAGCACTGCACCACAGTTTGTCTGCAATTTTATAACAGCAGTCACTGAACTATATATGCAAGACACTCAGAAGCCAATTAAATTGCCACCTAAGAATCTTCTTGAAGTTATAACATTTTGGGTAAGCGTCTTTACTTTTTTATAGCATTGGGAGACATACGAGCACAGTCCACCTGATGGTAAGTGATGCTGTGGCCTATAGACATCCACATTTATCCCTAATTGAGAATCAAAATGCAAATGCGTTGTCACCCCTGAGGACTAAGATGGAATGCCTCGATTCCAGTAAAAAGCGTTTTCGGTTTTCTGCGCTCACCATATGAAACACAGCAGCATTAGGCTACTATTTTACGCTGGTATTCAGTGAGGATACGGTCGAGCCGACCCATTCGTGCTACAACTATAATATAGCTGCAGCAAAGCTCTACCACATAAACTTACTTATTTTGAGTCATTGCTTTACCACCATCCCATCTGGTGGTAAGTGGTGATGAAGTTCTTAGTTAGTTAAAGTTTATTTATAGTTAAATATACGCGATAAAATCCGTAAAAACTAGTATTATTTCAATGTGTAGTGTTCGCGTAAGTATAAGAAATCATTATGTCTTAAAATTGATTAAAGTTAATTTAAGCCCTTAAATTGTTCATATTAACCAGAGATAGTGTAATATTATTCCTGATAGTGTACATATTCAAAAATTTCTGTTGGCATGTTGGTAAGCAAAGTGGTAATATACTTGCTTTGTTAGATTTTAAAATTGGGATGGTTTTTCAATGTTTAATTGTCACACAACGGGTTGAACTCCATGCAGGTTTGGAGGTTTTCACTTGGATAAAAAACTAAGAGCTATAAAAATGTAGTCATTTCTGAATTGATGATACGCTGATTCAAAATGACATACACAAGCTATCTAAATGTATATTCAGTAATATTTGGCTTTAATTTAGGGGGAGAATCTATTTGAAGAAAAAAAAATTTTTCATCACCATCATTACAGCTGTTCATAAGTCCGTCAGTCCACTGCTAAACATAAGCCTCCTCCGAAGTATGCAATAAAATGGGAAACTTGGGCCACGTAACTCTGTCAGCTCTTTGAGCTGTATGGCCAACCCTTTGCCACTTCAACTGAGTTTGGGAATTTTCGTTATCTGGTTCATACGCAGCATCATTATGGATTCAATCATACACTTAATAGCCAGCATAGCTGAGACCTGATAAGCTTTATTTTATAGAATAAGGGTGACAAAAGAGAACACAGTCCGCCTGATGGTAAGTGGATGCTATGGCCCATAGACATCTACATTTATCCTCGATTAAGAATCAAAACGTAGATGCGTTGTCACCCCTGAAGTTAGATGGAACGCCTCGTTTCCAGTAAAAAAGGGGTCTTCAAATGTCTACACACACACTATACGAAACACAGCGGTATTAAGCTGCTATTTTACGCTAGTATTCTGTGAGAGCGTGGTCCTTCCCCGGTCGAGCCGACCCATTCGTGCTACAACTATAATGTAGCTGCAGCGTGGCTCTACCACGTATAAAAAAAGCTTCCTCATACTTCCAGCAGTGAAGGACCTCATTTCAGATTCGTATGGTTATAAATCCTCATTTTAAGTTGTGAAGAATATGTGACAAGAAGACATGTCATAATCTCCTAAGTGCTGGCCAGTGGAATTGGATCTGTCAATTGATCTTAGTCGAAGTTAGATTTTTCCTAGGTAAAAAATACCAGTCACTGTAAATAACTTGGAATGTAAGGTTTAAAATTTATAGTAAAATATTCACCACTATCTTCACTATTCTGAAAGCGAAAAGCGCATTTCACAGTATGCGAGCAACCTGGGTGCGATCCCTGCCAGTACTAAACAAATTCTTAATTGTAATTTTACGTACCGATTTACCATATAATTGGCGCTGAAGAAAAACATTATGAGGAAACCTATATGATAAAGAAATAAAATATTGCCCTCAAAATTAACGCAGCAAACTAGTTGCTCCAAATTCCGCTTAGAAATGAGAATACAATAATTTTTTTATTCAATATAGATTAAATGTCATTCTTATTGTCATTTTTCTTACTTTACCACTGGTTTGGAAAAAAACTTCTGTCCTGAGAAGAACCCCATTGAGATTTTATTATAAAGTAAATTATACAATATAAAAGCTTGCACAAGCTACTATTTACAAAATTTATTTTAAAAACCCTTCACAACATTTAAACTCAGTAAAATAGAGACCTTGTATGTTTCCTGGGCCTTTATTGTAATAGTGGAGTCGAGAAACTAGTATCACCAGCTTGTGTTTGTTCCTTGTGTTTACAGAGTGTTATATAAGTTTTTTTTTACTAAAACTACTTTTATTTTTGTGAATAAATATTAAATTTTCGTAAATATACAGAGAAGCCATCAAAATTAATATATTTATTAGTTAAAAATGTTCTAAATATGTCTTTTTATTGAGAGTAACCCTAAACCCAGTTGTGGGACGTATAAAAGCTGTAACTTTACCGGTTTCAGGTTTACTCAACGCCAACACTGTGTATGTCAGCGCAGTTGAATGCGGCCGCATTACCTAGCGGTGCAATTCCTATGGCGGCAGTTACACCACTTGCTGGTATAGTTCGATGGTGCGCCCTTGCGCCGCTGTATATTGATGAAGGTAATATTTTTTATGTTAATAGCTTTAAGTGTATTGTCATATGCCCAACCTTTCATAACCAACATGTCAGATTGAAAAATACAATACCCACAACAGTTTTAATGTGTTTAAAATTATTATCTCTATCTATTAGGTAAAATATTAACGAAGTTCCTAAAAATCTGAATAACTGAACTAAAAAAGTTACAGACTGTATATATCCCACACGCCATTTAGTAAGGATAAAAAGCAAGACTAAGAAAGAGGTAACTTATAAATGGGCAACATGCTGCTAAAGCAATTAACCCAAATATCTATCTGTGTGGTCCTTTTATCTCCTTTGTAAAACAATTAGTGTTAGTATCCATGTAAGATAATTTATAAAGTATATTTTTAGTCAGGTACAAGCTTAAATTAGATACAGTTTTGTCTAGAAATATGGTATTTTTACTATTTCAACATAGAATTTTTAATTCACATACTTGTACGGATTTTCAACTAGTCTTTAATCTTTGCCTCACATTATTTTTTATGACAGAATAAGAACGTATTAGGTCTTTACCTATGGAATTGCCGTTTTTCATGAAATAAGTTAATGTGATTGTTTTTCTGTAATTTTTATTTCTATTAATTAAAGTAATCACCAATGCAATTGATGCATCTGTGCCAATGCAGTGGCAGCCTATTGATGCCCTTCTTGGACAAATCAGCTGCACAGGAGGCAACAAGTTATTCAAGGGCATTTTGTATTGCCTCTCGGTTGTTGAATTTTTCCCTGCCAAAAAGTTAACTAAATCCTGGAAAAGGTAGAACTCTGTAGGCGCAAGGTCTGATGAGTACGGCGGATAACGGAGAGCTTCCAACCCCAGCTCTTGTAACTTGGAGACCGTCTGTTGTGCAGTATGAGTTCGCGCATTATCGTACAGGAACACCGGGGACGAGCGATTGACCAAAGCTGGTTGGAGACGAGACAGTATATACCTGCAGTAATTCTCATCCCGTTTGGTAAGAAGCTGTGATGAATCACACCGGCGCTAAACCACCAAATATGACCTTAACTTTTCATGGGGTAAGTTTTCGTTTAGGGCATTGTTTAGGTGCTGAACCAAAATCCAACCAACTTGCTGAGCGCTTGCGATTGTCAAACGGAATCCATTTTTCGTCGCAAGTAACAATGCGGTTTAAAGTTTGTGTAGCTGTTGAGCAGTGCAAGCCACGTCTTGACGCATACTTCGCGCTGGCGATCATTGAGTTTGTAGGGCATCAATTTGTCAAGCTTTTTACCTTGCACATTTGGCGTAAATGGACCAATATTGTTTTGATGTTAACATCGAAAGCTGCTGCCAGTTCAGCCGTAGATTGAGTATCATCAGCTTCCACAATCGCCTTTAATTCGTCGACCAAAGTTTTTGACGGCCATGGGGTTCATTTTTCAGGTAGAAATTTCCAGAACGAAAGCAGGCAACCAATAACAGGTGGTGCGTTCGTTTGAAGTATTCGCTCGAGAAACGTCGTTCATGTTGCGGGCCGCTTGTGCCGCGTGGCTGCTACGACGGTATTCATATTCCATAATTACTATAATCCATCATTTTTAACGTATCCATGATGAAAAAATATGTGATGAAAACATTGAAGTAATATGTACTTACGTACTTAGAACAGCTATCTCAAAAACAAAATATATTGTTTTGTTAAATAGGTAAATTATATCGAGAACAATTTTCAAAATTTGTTATTTATTTTGTATATTTCATTTGCTTATTTAATATAATATTACATAATATTATATCACAATTACATTTTAATGATATTTTTGTAGTGAATATTTTAAAAGGTATCTATGTCAAATATAAAAAAAACATACTAAATGTATATTTAACAAAACTTATTAATGTAATATTTAAATTACAAATATATTTATTTAAATTAGAACAAGAGTCATTCATTATTAATGCTGGGCACGCGAGAGTTAAAAACGGACGAATTTATTCCACTTTGACTTTGATGTGGAAACCTAAAAATAAAATAAAAGAATAAAGAGAAGATTTATATACAAAAAATTTTGCCTAATTATGATCTCATATATTTTCCTACAAAAAAATGTGTATAATAATATATTCGTCCTATACTTAAGTACCCACAGAAATGTCGCATCTGAACAAATTAATTTCATAATCTATATTACATGACACGAGATGGGTCTTAGAAATAATTTGTTTTATTATTAATCTATAATACTTTTTTATTGGTTAAGTATCTTATTAACCGATGAAAAGTAATTCCTTGGTTTTTACTGACATTTCTTGAATTACTTGTGCAATATCTAAGTCCACACGACGGCATATTTTTACACAACACAACACGTGACAACTCTACGAGCGCCTAGCGAGTGACTGATTAAAGTGCGGTGTATGCACCGCAGTTGAGTGGAACAGAGTAGCTGAATGCAGTGTTGCCTCTAGTACGTAGTACATAATAGCTCAATGGATGAAAACAACGCTAATCAATAAATGGTTGCGCGGAAAACCATTCGCGTTTTTTATTTGACGGTAGGAACTTGTAGAATCATTATTCCTTTCCAAACAATATCATTCGTACCCTCCTATCGACACATCGGGGTGGTGGGGTGGGAGGGGAAAGAAGACGATTCTAGAACATCGCGTAATCACCCGAGCCGAGGATATATAAGACACGCGCGACCGATGCGCGAGCCTCTTCTCCCGCCGCAGTCGTCGTTGAACCAACGCTTCTCTCCTGACGCACCACTGGGACCCCAGAGTGTCTGTCCAGAGGAGGTTCCGGAAGTCGCCGCTATAGTGATCGACAGGAAGAAGAAACCCCGGTGAGTCAATATTCCTTAATTATACCTGCTTGCTAATAGTTTAACCCGCTCCAATCTGTGTTTTTTTTTCCTAGTCAAGCAGGATTCCTTTCATCGATTCGACAAGTAATAGTTTAGTTTAGGGAAGAGCGAGTGCATTGTACCGCATGCTATAGTAGTCGCTTTTACGTAAGCGTAGAAGCAATCGCATATACAGTCCACTTTAGTTAATATCTCGCGTAATAGGTTTGAGGTTTGACCGGGGAACTAGATTTTCGGCAGCCTTAAACACGTGGCTCCACCATTTTATGGTCCTTCGAGCCGGATCTGGATTGGTGTTTAGTGGTTATCCAACCATTTTCTGGTCGAATTATTAAATTAATTGTTTAGATAACGCACTCTAATTTATAGAATAGACTTAAATAGTGTTCGTTTAAATTAAAATTTTGATTTGTTACTCGCAAACAGAATTATTCATTTAATAGCGCTCGTATTTGGTTAAATTTAAAGCTTATTAAATAATTGAAACGGCGTGATAGCAACCGTTTGATACGCTTACCCCACAATTTTTATAAAATTATTAGGTTTAGCAAACGACGCGTAGCCTTGACTGCATCGGGCGCTCGATCTGATTACGTAATACGGCACGCCGAGTATTTATCCTACGTCGTTTATGCGTGTGAGATTAATTGTGATTAATATAACTTTATTATAATAATTTAAAATGGCAGTTAGTGGAAGTGAAATCAAAATTAAAACGCTTTATGCCAAGAGGGACATACTCTTTTCGCGTGTGCAGAATATAAGTGATTATATAAAGAACATTCATATAGAGGCAGTACGCGAGGCCTTTTTAAATGAAATCGAAACGATAGATAATTTGCGGACAGATTACGAAAGAATATTAGATCAAATTAATCATTCGGAACTACAAACCGACCCGAAATACATAGTGAACTACCAACCGCTGCTGGCATTCGAAGATATGTTGTGTCGCGTGAAGAGAACCGCAAAATTGCTACAATCTCAAGGTGAAGCGAAGCCTGAAATGCAGGTACGCCCTCGTGACTCAATTAGGTTACCGCCAATAGATATTCCGGCATTCAATGGTGATATTAAGACGTGGCCCTTCTTCTTCAGTAGTTTTCAAAACAATATACACAACAACCCATCGTTATCGGACGCTGAAAAATTATATTACTTAATTAGTAAACTTAGTGGCAGAGCACAATCGATATGCTCGGGTTTTACACCTACAGCAAACAATTACTTATTAATATTTGAAACGCTTAAAACTAAATATGAAGATAGGAGAATGTTAGCTTCCGAATATTTGAACCAGATATTCGATCTTAAACCTATATCATCCGCGAACATCAACGGCTTAGAGCAGTTTCTCGATAAATTTGTGGCATCGGTGGCTGCACTTAAGAATTTGAAGTTTAATGACCTCATGGACGTGGTGTTTCTCCATATAGCATTAAAGAAATTAGACTCCGACACCGTGCGTGCGTTTGAAATGGAGCATCGTAGCTCGGAGATGCCTTCCTTTCATTCATTAGCATCGTTCGTGCGAGATCAAATAAAGGTGATGCAGCGCTCACCGAACGTTAAACAGGAGATTAAAAGGTGCGTCGACCGTAGACAGACTCAACCATCTAAAATAGCAGGGTCGTTAACTTACGTAACCGCTACGCCGACATCGCTCCAGCATACTTGTATAGTATGTAAAGATAAACACGGTAATTTATATAACTGTGCGACTTTTCGTAAATATTCACCAAGCGAACGTTATAAGTTAGTAAAAACAAACAACCTATGTTTGAACTGCTTAAGCGATAAGCATTTAGTTGCAAAATGCAATTCGAGTTCCGTATGTAGCAAGTGCGCCAGGAAACATCACACGCTATTACATTTTGAAAATAGCAACATAGCGGCGTCAAGTAAGGCGAATAAGGAATTCACCCCTACTAAGGTCAACGATTCTAGCGGTCGACCTGGTGATGTCGCTCTGTGCTCATTGGCAAATATGGGAGCACAACCTCCTTCAACCGTGTTACTGGGTACGGCGCGTATTTTGGTTAGGGATTCGCGTGGAAACAAACAAAGCGTCCGTGCACTGCTGGACAGCGGAGCCCAAAATAGCTTTATAACACGACAATGTTGTCAGCGCTTAGGCTTAGTAATAAATAGGTCACTTTCATGTCCTGTAGTTAAAGGCATCGGAGGTACTAGTAAAGCGACACAGGGATATATAAATTTAAAATTTTATTCTCGGATAGATCGTAACGTTAACTTTGATATAAATGCACTAGTAGTAGATAGGGTCACTGAACGGTTGCCAACCGTTTCGGTTGACACCTCGGCAATGATTGAATTTAAAAATTTGACTCTAGCAGACGACACTTACGCCGTTCCTGGAAACATAGACATGCTCATTGGGGCATCGCTTTTCCCTCATCTTTTGTTAAACAATAAGGTCAGAGGCAACTCCTCGCATACCGCGCCTTACGCACTGGAAACCGTATTGGGCTATGTGATCCTTGGCTCCGCCCCCATCCTAGATAGTATTTCGGCAGCCTCTTATTGTGGTATGGCTGTCGAACCGCTCGAGTCGTTAGTCCGCAAATTTTGGGAGATGGAGGAGGTGAACGTCCCACCCATAGCTAGTTCAGATGACAGGATATGCGAGGAAATTTACGTCCGCACGACCGTTCGTGATCGCGACGGTAGATATAGTGTAGCGCTACCCTTTAAGGGAGATGTTTTATCTCTCGGCGATTCGCGTCAAATGGCGGAAAAACGTTTCTATAGCTTGGAGCGTAGGATGCTCGCTTCGCCCCAGTTAAAGGAAGCTTACGACGGCGTCATTAACGAATATATAAGAGAAGGTTACATATCACTTGTGGCTTCGAAATTAGATAACTACGAAGACACACCGTCGTATTTTATACCACACCACGGAGTCATTAGAGAGGACAAACTTACATCTAAATTACGTGTAGTGCTCGACGCTAGTGCTAAAACTAGCACTCACCTGTCGCTTAACGATATCCTCTATAGTGGGCAAAATTTACAGGGCAGTTTATTTGATATAATAGTCAATTTTCGTTTGTTTAGTATAGCACTATCCGCCGATATTCGCCAAATGTTTCTTTGCATAGGGGTACGTGAATGCGACCGTAGATTCCAGCGCATTTTATATCGTTTCCACCCAAAGGAACCTCTAATGGTGTTAGAATTTAACCGCGTTTGTTTTGGTTTAAAGTCGAGCCCATTTCATGCGTTACGCACGGTGAGACAGCTCGCTCACGATGAAGGTCCCTCTTATCCTAAAGCTAAGAGGGCAATTGAGAGCGGATTATATATGGATGATTTTGTGTATTCGGTCGATAGCGTGGAGGAGGCCACCCTAACCACCGCCGAGGTTATAAGGCTCATGAAATCGGGTCAATTCGATCTTGTGAAGTGGACTAGTAATTCGCGTCCGGTTTTAGATACAATCCCACTATCACACCGTCTTTCGGCGATAAAGGAATTCGACGATTCCGATACACACAAGGTGCTCGGTCTGTGTTGGTCACCAGAGTCCGACGTGTTTAGCCTTAAGGTAAATCCGCCCGTAGAGAAATGCACAAAGCGCACAATACTGTCATGCGTTGCTAGATTATGGGACGTCATGGGTTTCGTAGCTCCGGTGGTATTATACGCTAAGCTTTTGATTAAACAACTTTGGTTATTTGAATGCGATTGGGATGACTCGCCGCCTGACAGCATTGTTCGATTGTGGCAGCGCTTTAGAGAGGAACTTCCTTTACTAAGAGAAATTAAAATACCGCGTCATATAAATGTCGATAGAAATAGCAGCATAACGGTTGTTGGATTTGCAGACGCCAGCGAGAAGGCTTACGGGGGGCGTTGTATATTTCCATGTCCAGAATAATGGTAGAAATTCGATTAGCCTCATTAGTTCTAAGTCGAGAGTCTCCCCCCGTAAGGTTGTCTCTCTGGCGCGCTTGGAGCTTTGCGCAATATTAGTACTCACCAAGCTTATTACCACAGTTATCGGCGCATGTAGGGATAGAGTTCACATAGAAAGAATATTTGCCTTTTCCGACTCCACCGTCGCCTTATGTTGGGTTCATTCTTCACCCCACCGTTGGGATACGTTTGTCGCGAACCGAGTGGCCAAGATCCAAGACGAGTTAGAAACGCGGAACTTTTATCACGTGTCCGGTAAGGAAAACCCTGCCGATTGTCTATCCCGGGGACTCACCCCGATGCAAATAATGGACCACCCGCTTTGGTTCCATGGACCTTCTTGGGTTTACTTGGATCCCTCACAATGGCCAATAACCGATTTCGAACCTTCGTCAGTGTCACAACCGCCGGAAGAGAAGAGACACGCTCTAGTAGCGAACGTTTCGAGCGAGGTTTCTCCAATCATTGCTCTGGCGAACCGCTTGTCCTCTTGGTCGAAATTATTGCGTAGCGTAATTTACGTTTGTCGATTCGCGAAGCTTTTACCGCGACGTCCGTATGTATTAGCATCCGATTACAACTATGCCGAGTCGCTAGTATTACGTGAACTTCAACGTGCGCACTTCTCTGAAGAAATTACAAAATTACAATCGAATAGAGCTTGTAGTCGCGCCTTTCAACGCCTTAAGCCATTTTTACAGGATGGGATTGTAAGGGTAGGTGGACGCTTGTCCTACTCGCAATTGAGTTTCGACCAACGGCACCCTATAGTTTTACCGCGTAAAGACCATATCATGAACTTATTAGTCGATTATCATCATAAATTGAACTCGCACGCTGGCCCCGATTTATTGATGTCGATCTTGCGTCAGAATTATTGGATTCTTTCTGCACGTAGTTTAATACGCAATCGGGTGCACAGATGTATAGCTTGCTTTCGGGCACGCCCCAAGCCGTCATTTCCGGAAATGGCGGAACTTAGATCTTGTAGAGTGATACAATCGGTAAAGCCCTTCACGCACACCGGGTCTGATTTTGCTGGTCCGTTTAAGGTCACGCTCACTCGCGGGCGTGGTATAAGATCCACAAAGGCTTACGTCTGCATTTTCGTATGTCTAACTACTCGAGCAGTGCATATAGAACTCGTTGGTGATCTAAGCACAGCAGGCTTTATGGGTGCATTTAAAAGATTTCTATCGCGCAGAGGCCCTGTAAGTAAATTATATTCGGATAACGGTACGAACTACGTCGGTGCAAAACGTATTCTATCGAAACTACATGAGCTCTTAGCTAGCAAGTATTATAATTCGGAGTTCGCTCACATTCTAGCCGAGAACCGCATTGAGTGGTCTCTGAACGTCCCAGCCGCGAGTCATTTTGGGGGCAATTGGGAGACTAATATTAAAAGTCTAAAGAGCCACTTATACCGAGTAATAGGAGATCAAATTTTGTCCTTCGAAGAGCTAAGTACGGTGCTCGCTCAAATTGAATGCGTAATGAATAGCCGCCCACTTTGTCGGACGTTATCTAGTGACCCCTCGGAACCGCTGGCTCTAACTCCAGCACATTTTTTGACTTTAACGCCTCTAAGGTATCTGCCCGCCGCGGATATGGATGAGAACAGACTTAGCATTTCCACACGCCACAAATTATTAGATCGGTTAGTGCAATCGTTTTGGAAACGATGGAGGATGGAATACTTGCATACTTTGCAGTCTCGGCAAAAATGGAACACAGCGACAGAGCCTTTAGCTGTAGGAACCGTAGTTGTGCTCACTAAGGAGAATACGCCGCCTCTCCACTGGCCGTTAGGAATCGTCGAGGAGGTCTTTCCCGGTTCCGACGGAGTAATTAGGATAGCTCGCGTTAAGACCACGGTTGGGTCTTACCTACGTCCTGTTATCCGTTTGTGCCCCTTGCCTCTTCCATAATTTAAATTAGCTTTCTAGACTGAAATTGTAGTTTAATTTAGGTAATCTTAGCGTTAGTTAGTTATTTGTTAGTCGATCTTAGCTCTAGTTGTTTAGTTATTTTTTTTGAAGGAAATCCTTCAAGGGCGGGGGGAGATGGTTGCGCGGAAAACCATTCGCGTTTTTTATTTGACGGTAGGAACATGTAGAATCATTATTCCTTTCCAAACAATATCATTCGTACCCTCCTATCGACACATCGGGGTGGTGGGGTGGGAGGGGAAAGAAGACGATTCTAGAACATCGCGTAATCACCCGAGCCGAGGATATATAAGACACGCGCGACCGATGCGCGAGCCTCTTCTCCCGCCGCAGTCGTCGTTGAACCAACGCTTCTCTCCTGACGCACCACTGGGACCCCAGAGTGTCTGTCCAGAGGAGGTTCCGGAAGTCGCCGCTATAGTGATCGACAGGAAGAAGAAACCCCGGTGAGTCAATATTCCTTAATTATACCTGCTTGCTAATAGTTTAACCCGCTCCAATCTGTGTTTTTTTTTCCTAGTCAAGCAGGATTCCTTTCATCGATTCGACAAGTAATAGTTTAGTTTAGGGAAGAGCGAGTGCATTGTACCGCATGCTATAGTAGTCGCTTTTACGTAAGCGTAGAAGCAATCGCATATACAGTCCACTTTAGTTAATATCTCGCGTAATAGGTTTGAGGTTTGACCGGGGAACTAGATTTTCGGCAGCCTTAAACACGTGGCTCCACCAATAAACAAATGAATAATTTTGAAAAAAAAAAGAATTCAATGTTTAAAAAAATGAAATTAGAATTCTTAGCGAAATAAAAACTATTTTGATTTGAAATGGCCAGTACTACAGAACGGCATTTTCATAGGTAAATGGCTATTATTTTGTATGTGTTCCATGAAGAATCTATTCTGTACTTAACAAAAATATATTCTTTCTATTTCACGTCTAAAAACACACAATTTAACAAAAGTATATTGTCTCACATCACAGATGCAGAGATGTTAGAGATTCCACCGAAGAAAATTAAAATCGAAGGGGAGCGGGGTGTACTAAAGACAGTTAAATTACACTCAGAGTCGCAATTGTATATACAACTGCAACTAGGATTACTGCAGAGTTTACGCGCGTGGCGGCGGCGCGGCCCGCCAGCAGCGGTGGCAGCTCAGCGGATCACCGCCTTGCTGCCACCCGTCAGGGAATATGCACAGAAACTGCTTGACAGAGGATGCAAGATCAACACTGATATGAGGCTGCAGGTAAGTCTTGAAATAGGGCTAATAATCTTATAATGATTTCTTAAATTTACGCGAACACTACACATTGAATAAAACTAAATTTACGGATTCTATCGCGTTTATTTAACTGATTTTACTTATTTTTAATTCCCGACGTTTCGGGTGCTTTACAGCAACCATGGTCACGGGGGGGGACTGAGATCTCAGCGATAGAATCCGTAAATTTAGTTTTACTAATAATCTTAGTTGTGTTTTTTCTGTTTCTAGTGTATGTATGTACACAAAACAATGCCCCAGTGGTGGGCTCTTAAATTTTTTACACTTTTTTAACTTTTTTTTTTAATTTTTTCTTTTAGGTTTATCCTTTGTTTGTTTTATCTTTTTTTATCTAATGAATACTAAATATAACTAATATTCCAAATAGAAACATTCATTTTTATACTATTCTAATAATTTAACTTGCCAGCTATGAGATCAGTCAAATATAGCCTACTAAATGTTGAATGAACTGTCACATAACTGTGATGCAAGAAACCCAAAGATATTTTTTACTAGAAATGGGATATTCCATCTTAGTTCTCAGGGGTCTGCATTTTGATTCATAATCGAGATGATAAATGTAGATATCTATGGGACACTGAGATCAGTCACATATAGCCTACTAAATATTGAATGAACTGTCACATAACTCTGACAGTGGCGAAGCTAGGGCTCCTAACTAGGGCAAGCCCAAGATATGGTTTTGTTGTTTTTAACAGTTTTATAAAAATACACCAATCTTGATCTGTCTCCACTCTTCAGTTTCATATTCAGTGCTGTCAAGGACGTGTTTAACAAAGCACACAGAAGGCATACTACTGCTAGATAGATTGTATGACATATTATGCAATTGCATACCTTCGGTGGCTTTGAAAAGAGTCGTTTGGGTTTGCTTGAGCGAAAGAAAAAGATATTTACATACAATACAATACACGAACAAAAGAAAAGCATGAACAAAGTACAAACAAACTATGTACAAAATTAAAAAGGGATGCCTGGCAGATTTGAAACATCGAAATTATTTTGTTTAAGTTATATGCAAAGAAGAACAGATTACGACAGGAATTAGATATGGTATAATTAGAAGATAAAGCTTTGCAAATTTTAATGACTATTTATTATATAATTATTCATTTTCAATTTTCATAAACCGTACAAAATGATATTTTTAACTCTTAAGGCCCCAGTCTTGTAAAAATTAGTGTTCTCGCAAAATTTACAGCAAAATAATTTTTGTTATAGTATTTAAAAAGGATAATGTGAAACATATTTTACATTTGGACATAGTTATGTAAACTAGAACCAACCCACCCTACAGTGTGTAGAAACAAATAGGTAAGTTATTTGAAACAAACAACTTTACAATGTTAAGGTTAGTATTGATGATAATATAGGACAATTAAATTATTTGGATTTTAGTCAGATTTCTAACTATTTTCGATCAAAAAGCTGATGGTTCCTTAATGCAAAATTACTGTTTTGTGGGTTCTTTATGTGGTGTTATGGTGGTTTTTCATTACAATATGTTAAGATTTTTCAAGTATGTAGATTGCTTTAACCTTTTGAGCGCCACGCCAAAAACGCATTACCGTGTCCTGTACGCCAAAGCGAAAGGTAAACAAAAATACCTACGAAAAAATAGTGTTGCCAAGAGTTGAAATAAATGACTCTTTATAATCTTGTATGTTTTATTTAATCTTGTACTGTCTTCCACTCTTTTTATATATGTACTTTGTAGATAAATAAAAATAAACAATAACGATAAAATAGTAGTAAACCACAACACTACTCTTCATCGTGATGACGTCACTGTCACGACTGGACGACAACGGCGTAGCTGACCTCCCTTTTTGAAACTTTTTTTGTGTTTTTTTAGTGTCGCACGTTGTGTATCGATTTCGAAATCGATCTAACCAAAATATACAGAGATCGACTCAAAATATTTTATGTGTCGGGGGAGGCGTAGGCCAAGTGAAGCACAGAAGAAGTCTTACGCTCTTATGACAATGGGGGTTTGATATGATGCTGATGCTACTACATGATTTTGAGATAATCATAATCATAATCTTTATTGCAATCAAATGGTAACAATAGAATTTGGAATTTTTAAAAAAAGTAGCCCGCATTTGAACCCAGTTTGGGCGTAGCAATTATAAAAATATTAAATATTATTTTAAAACTACAAGATTTCATTAATAAATTACATGATTAGATTATATTATTTTAAAATCTTGTAAATTTAATTAAATTAATCACAATGTCAAGTAAAAAATTATTATTATTATAAATAAAAATAAGTAAAAAATAATAATTGAATAAAAAAATTAAATTAGATAGGCACAGGCCGAAGTTGTCCACACAAATTAAATAACATTTGTACCAAAATATTTATTTAAATTATAGAAACATTTTTCATTTAAATATAACTTTAATTTGGATAAAAATAATGTAGTACTCGTTAAATTTATTATGTCATTTGGAAGGTTATTAAAAAATTTTACCGCCATACAGTAGGGACTAGAGCTATGCAAAGCAAGAGTAGATTTCGGCAATAGTAGCCTATTTTTATTTGGTCTAATTGAGTATTTGTAATTTGTTTCACTTAATTTGGTAAATAGTTCTGGGTGTTTTTTTTTTTACAAATTTGCATGTTTCCCAAATATAAATAGACGTCAAAGTCAAAATTTTAAACTTTTTGAAGTGGCGCTTACAACTTTCTGGAATTTTTATGTTTGCCAAAATTCTTATAATTTTTTTTTTGCATTATAAATAATTGCTGTGCATTTTTACTATTTCCCCACAACATGACACCGTATGACAGCTACGAAGATGTGTATGCGTAATATGCTGACAGAGCGCTGGGGACATCTGTGGTTTTCTTTATTTCTCGTAATACGTAAGTGAATTTTGATAGCCTATTTTTTACTTTATTTATATGGGCTTTCCAGTTTATATGGCACTCGATTTCCAGGCCTAACAAGTTGAAGTTGTCAACAGTCCTATAGGTATATTATTATAAGTAAAAGCGATATTATTTAGTGGTGATTTTTGAACTGGTGGGAATTGCATAATTTTGGTTTTATTAAAATTAATCTCTAGGTTGTGATGTGTCAGCTGCCTGGTTCAATACATGATTCAATTTATTATTTAAATTCTAGTCTTATGTATGCGGAATATATATAAATAATAATGGAAATGTCATCAGCAAATATAATAGAGTTTTCAGTCAATATCCTATATTGAGAAAGAAAATCGCACAACACAAAATGTAAACTTGCTCGTCATATCTTAAGAAAAAAATAAACGTTTATTATTTGTAATTTTATATTATTAAAATAAAAAAATTCATTATCATGGACGCTTTCCAAAATGCGAATGAGTTCTGAAGAATCGTTCATGTTGCACTGCACTACTTTTTCCGCTGTTCGTTTATGACGTCATCAGGGTGTCGTCTATCCTTGACCACGTCGCCCAATGAACTGATAATCGATAATGAAGTTGATTTGATGAAATTTTCTTTTATTTATGTAGCTGATGATGTTTTATGTTTCTTACCTTTTGTTTTATTCAAATATCAATAATAATTTAAAAAAAATAACACGTTTGCGTTTAGTTTTGAATAGTTTTCAATAAATCTATGCCTAACGCATTACAACACTAGCGGTCAAACATAGACGACTTTGGCGTGCTGGACATGGTATTTGCTTCGATAAAAATCTATTTTTTTTAGTTCAATGTTTCTTAGTACTCGTGGCTCTAGGAGACTTGTTTTTTATACTCACATGTTGCTGGGTTATTCTTCTTTGAGGAGTGTAGAATTAAAATACCAGTAATTAATTCCAATATCTATATTTCATATTTTTGTAGGCCGGGTTTTTTATCAACTATAGACGTCGTTGGCGCTCACAGCTCGCAGGTGCTTGTCAAGTATAGGCGACTTTGGCGCTCAAAAGGTTAATTAATTTTAAAATACTTATGTTTTAATCACATTTTTATTAACTTGAACATACATACTAGTTTAACACATTAAAATTGTACCTGTAATAACATATTAAGCAAACCACTGTTATTGATATTCATCTAACATTCCCTAATCGTCATCATCCTCTTCTACCTCAAAATCCATCTATGTCATCTTCAACAGTAACATCTCCCATTAATTGTTTGTAAAAGTCTTGGTCATCTTCAGGAATAAAATGCAACAAGCTTTTCAAGTAATTTAACCTCGCTTCGGGGACTGGCTTACCATTAGGCCAAAGCGGATCCATTGGTTCTTTGGTTAATGAGACTGTATTTCCTCGTAAATTTTTTCTTAAATTTACTTCTACATAGCCAGTATCTAGATCAGATCTCATAAAAATCGAAAACTCATTTTCTTTCCTGACCATTATCTCTTTAGTTTTAAGACGAGATGCTTTTAATCCATCAGTAGCTTTTTCTGTTATTTGTTCTCTTTTCTAGGTTAGCACTTGAGAAAAAGTATTCTTTTGTCATTTATTCTTTTTGCATGTCTGCATTATACACACGTAGTCTTCCGGCGTGTATATTCTTTGCTGCAATTTTAGGGCACATTCGATTCGGCCAAAAAGTGAGTGAGCCAAAAAGAAGTGCAGCCTGACTGATAAAATATATAATAAACAAATCAATATAACAAATTTATTGATTCGAGACTTCAACTGTTAGAAGATACAACATTGTTATTATTGGGAATGTTACAGTTGTGTGAGGGTTATTTGAAAAGGATTTTCCCCTTGTGAAAGGGGAATTTTCCCCTGAGGGAAATCCCCTTTTTATCTGAGTAAAAGGGGATTTCCCTATACTTGTAGTCTAATCAGTTTCAGTTTTCTTTTAAAGAGAGGCTTCCGAACATGGTACTATAAAGTATTAATGTCCTACACACTGCATAGCAAAATAAAATTTTACTAACTTGGTACATTATTTACAAAACATGTGTATTTCTGAAGCATTATAGAATTTTGCTA